ACTCACAAAGGAGAGGAGGTGTGGGGGTGGGATGGCCATCTTTACCATAGCTTGGCATCTTTGGAGGGTCTTGAGGACTGCTGCATCTTTGTCCATTCCTGTATGGTCTTTTGTAGGGCCTGGGTCTTTTCTTTATCTATTTGGACATATTCTCCTTTCTCATCCGATGAGACAGATGATGTGGATGGCTTGTGATGAGGGCTCTAGGAGATTGGCTGAAAGTCCAGGGCTATGTAATTCACATTGCCAGTACTCTTTCTTGGAGCTGGGCTGTTAGTGCCACTGGATACAGGGGATGAAGACATTGGGTTCTGCACAGGGACATAGTTCTCCTCACTGTCTCTGGCGTCTGTATTGGAGATGGAATGGCAGTACTGAGAGAAGCTGGAGTTAAAGGTGTGGTTGACCGTGGACAAAGACTTGGTGACAGGTGTCTTGAAAGGGAGCTCATTGATAATGGCTTTGCTTTTCGGCCATGCTTGAGGTGGATATTGACGGGGGTGGCTGGATCTCGCTTCCTCGCTTGGCAAAGTGATGGGGCATTGTGCTCATGAGGATGTCAGAAACTGGGTTTGTGGGCACATAGATGTCATCAGAGCTGGCAGTGTTTGATCGACCCACAACAGTCTTTTCTAGAGATTTAGCAGACCAGCAGGCAGTTTCTTCACCTCATGTTAGATACTTGTAGTCACTGACTGGAGGTATCTGTTGAGGGCTGCCCCACAGAGGTGTCTTGTGGTGCTGTGGTAGGGGAGCTATGGCTGACTCCACTAGGAGGTCTAGAAGGTGTGCTCATTGGTAATGATATCAAACATAGCTCTTGTTTGTTGAAGGTCAGGGTTCTTTGAAGCATAGCGCCCCAACTTTTTCTCAGGAGGCAATTTCTCCAGCCAGCCTGTGTGCCTGTGCACACCACATTGTTGCTGGCTAACTAGAGCCCACAGCAGGCTCAAGTGGACAAAAGCACAGGCTGATAGGTCAGCTGGCTGCTGGTGGGTAGCTCTGGAGGAGGGATTCCTCAGTGGCAGATTTCCTCTTTGGAGTTGAGGTATCTATTTTCCAGTGCCTTTACAATCCAACTCTCTTT